CTAGTTGAGTGTAAGCATGACTAAAGTCTAATTCAGTGAATTTGTCTCCTCCTGCCAAATTCAAAGAAATTTCCTCAATGTTAGGTATAGGGTACCTATTTAGCTCTATTTGCTTATTCAGTGTAGTTTTATAGTCTCCACAAATTCTTATAGAACCATCCTTCTTTAACACTGGCACAATGGGCGTTGCCCAATCGGAATAGTCTACCTTCTTTATGATGCCATTAGATTCCAATCTACTTAGCTCATTTTCAATTTTATCCCTCATTGAATAAGGTGGAACTCTAGCTTTGCAGTATCTTGGATTTGTGTCTTTAATGCTTATCTTCACTGTTCTATCATTTAGTAATCCAGAATTGCCAAAAACACTTTTATTTTCAGATATTACTTTATCTATTGAAGTAAGACTAGATTCTTTTGCATTGTTCAATGAACATGTACTCTCCCAATTTAACTTAAGATTACTTAACCAGTTCCTACCTAGTAATGGTGGTCCATTTCCTTCAACCACAAGAAGAGGAAGTTTAACACTTTGACCATTATAACTTACATGAACCATACACTCTCCTATTACCGGAACATTGTCACCAGTGTATGTTGTTAGACACTTGTGACATGGCTGTAGAGGCACTGATCCTCCTGTGACAGCGTCAAAGTCCTTCTTTGTGATGACTGTTAGAGATGCTCCAGTGTCAAGTTGGAAGCTGATGCTCTTACCGTTGATATTAACTGGTACATTGATGGGAGCATGACTTATTGATTTCACAGAGAACAGGTTGAAATCCGGCTGCGAATCAGTTTGAGCATTTTCACTGGTAGAGTGGTTCATTGGTTGGGTTAGGTAGTCTTGGTGAGAGTTAACATAGTGCTGCCTTTGGTTGCGGTACTGTCTTGACTGGCTAGATTTAGCAACAGACGAAGACTTTGCAAAGCAGGCCTTGGCAATGTGACCTTGCTTACTGCACTTATAACAAGTTGCAGACTTGAACTTGCACCGATGAGATGCATGGGGACCTTTGCATCGATGACATTTTTGATAATTATTACTAGATTTAGATCTAGGCTTTAAACGTGCAGGCTGTTTAGCATAAGTTGGAATGCTCTGATGGGGTTGGTGTTTGTTGACTAACCTGCTGTTTACTGCATGGATCTCTGAAGGCGTTAGAGATTTCGCCGCATCGGATGACTGCTGGAATAAAGTTGCAAGTTGTATTGCTTTTTCTAATGTTAGATCTGACTCGAGCAGCAACTTTCTTTGAACATCAGGGCTGTTTACACCTGTCACAAACTTTTCACATAGTCTGTCAGACAGCGTATCGCCGAATTCACAGAATTCACTTAAATGACGTAAAGCAGCAACATATTCTGATATTGACTCGTTTGTTTGACGAGTCCTACCGTCAAATCTAGCTCTACATAGAAACTTTGATGGGGTAGGCGCATGGTGGTCTGTTAGCAATTTGCTCAGCTCGTTAAAGCTCTTGGTAGTTAGACTAGCTGGTGCGCATAAGTCCTTTAGTAGCCTAAATTGTTGAGGCCCTATGACTGTTAACAAAACAGCTCTCTTTTTGGCTTCTATCGTCACGTTGTTAGCTTCAAGGTAAAAGCTTAACCTATCTAGGTAATCTTGAATGATTTCATCATTCGAATCAAATTCTTTTATTTGGCCATACAGCGCCATTATTCTAGAAATACTTAGCTAATATGCTCTAGCAAACCTCTTTTTTGCGTAAGTAGGTGCTCTTTCTAGTAGATTATTTATCCTCGTCGCCAGATATAATAGATTAGGAATACACAACGGAGACAGAAGCCATCAGCATGTAGCCATCTTTTATTCGTAAACGGAAGAGGAACAATGATAGATAAATACAAGGGACATCACTCAATAACAACATTATAAATATAACCAATACAAGAAGAGTGAGTTCCCCTGACCTCACAAATCCCAATATGTTACATCCCCCTCTAACATTTTTATCAATCCACCTAGAAAAATCATGTACGGACCTAACTCTAACTAATTCAATTGTTCTTGTTGTAAATGATAAAATTTGGTGTCACCCCCACCCCAGACGTGAATTTACATTTAATTTATTATGATATTTAACAAACCTTTTTCCTTAGGCAAATTTTGCAACGCTTAGTTGCTGTTACTCCCTTTCCCCCTCCCCACGACGATAGCTTTAAACTGTGATCAGATAATACCAACCATGTTTACTTATAGTCGGTTATAAATACAATTGGTTGTAGCAAATTTACGTCATCGTGTCACCCCCTCCCACCACCCTTGTGTGCACTTGTGAGCTTCGATCTTAAAAGTCTACTTAACTCTAATTACTCATTTATTTAACTCTAATTACTCATTTATTTAACTCTAATTACTCATTTATTTAACTCTAATTACTCATTTATTTAACTCTAATTACTCATTTATTTAACTCTAATTACTCATTTATTTAACTCTAATTACTCATTTATTTAACTCTAATTACTCATTTATTTAACTGGAATAATCTTTTTTTTTCTGTATATATTTTGTTATTTTTTGCCTTAGTTACCCCCCCCCCTAAAAGGTGTCACCTTGCGCTGACCGCACTCGTCGCCTCCCCCCCCCCCCCCTCCCCTCTACGCCTCTGGATGTGGCAACTGTGAAGGCGAATGATATGATAAAATCAAAGCAACCTTTGCAACTCCGTGTAATACAATTCCTCTCTGTGTCGCAACTGTGAAGGCGAATATGATAAAATCAAAGCAACCTTTGCAACTCCGTGCAATACAATTCCTCTCTGTGTCGCAACTGTGAAGGCGAATATGATAAAATCAAAGCAACCTTTGCGACTCCGTGTAATACAATTCCTCTCTGTGTCGCAACTGTGAAGGCGAATATGATAAAATCAAAGCAACCTTTGCAACTCCGTGCAATACAATTCCTCTCTGTGTCGCAACTGTGAAGGCGAATATGATAAAATCAAAGCAACCTTTGCAACTCCGTGTAATACAATTCCTCTCTGTGTCGCAACTGTGAAGGCGAATATGATAAAATCAAAGCAACCTTTGCAACTCCGTGTAATACAATTCCTCTCTGTGTCGCAACTGTGAAGGCGAATATGATAAAATCAAAGCAACCTTTGCAACTCCGTGTAATACAATTCCTCTCTGTGTCGCAACTGTGAAGGCGAATATGATAAAATCAAAGCAACCTTTGCAACTCCGTGTAATACAATTCCTCTCTGTGTCGCAACTGTGAAGGCGAATATGATAAAATCAAAGCAACCTTTGCAACTCCGTGCAATACAATTCCTCTCTGTGTCGCAACTGTGAAGGCGAATATGATAAAATCAAAGCAACCTTTGCAACTCCGTGTAATACAATTCCTCTCTGTGTCGCAACTGTGAAGGCGAATATGATAAAATCAAAGCAACCTTTGCAACTCCGTGTAATACAATTCCCCTCCCCTGTTTCCCAGCGCCGAGCGGAGCTCTGTAAAATTCCAGAAAATCCTGGCCGCTCTGTCAGACGCTGCCAGCTAATCCAAAGCTTAGCTCCCTAACCCTAGCCCTAATCCAAAGCTTAGCTCCCTAACCCTAGCCCTAATCCAAAGCTTAGCTCCGTGATCAGTCGGCTCAGTCCTCTAAGCCACGTCTGTAGCGCGTATTAGATAACGGTTAGCGCTAGGGTTAAATGGTACAAATCACAAAATAATTCACTCTAAACTATTGGTTACTACAGGGATTAAATGGAACAAACCACAAAAATTAAATCTAAAACGTTTGCTACTGAAAGGGGTTAAATGGTACAAATAGCAAATAATTCAGTCTAACCATTTAGTTCATTGCAAGGGTTGTATAAAATAAACCAGCAAATAATTCAATCTAAACATTTAGTTAATTGCAAGGGTTGTATAAAATAAACCAGCAAATAATTCAATCTAAACATTTAGTTAATTGCAAGGGTTGTATAAAATAAACCAGCAAATAATTCAATCTAAACATTTAGTTAATTGCAAGGGTTGTATAAAATAAACCACTCAAGAATTCAGTCTAAACATTTAGTTAATTGCAAGGGTTGTATAAAATAAACCAGCAAATAATTCAATCTAAACATTTAGTTAATTGCAAGGGTTGTATAAAATAAACCAGCAAATAATTCAATCTAAACATTTAGTTAATTGCAAGGGTTGTATAAAATAAACCAGCAAATAATTCAATCTAAACATTTAGTTAATTGCAAGGGTTGTATAAAATAAACCAGCAAATAATTCAATCTAAACATTTAGTTAATTGCAAGGGTTGTATAAAATAAACCAGCAAATAATTCAATCTAAACATTTAGTTAATTGCAAGGGTTGTATAAAATAAACCAGCAAATAATTCAATCTAAACATTTAGTTAATTGCAAGGGTTGTATAAAATAAACCAGCAAATAATTCAATCTAAACATTTAGTTAATTGCAAGGGTTGTATAAAATAAACCACTCAAGAATTCAGTCTAAACATTTAGTTAATTGCAAGGGTTGTATAAAATAAACCAGCAAATAATTCAATCTAAACATTTAGTTAATTGCAAGGGTTGTATAAAATAAACCAGCAAATAATTCAATCTAAACATTTAGTTAATTGCAAGGGTTGTATAAAATAAACCACTCAAGAATTCAGTCTAAACATTTAGTTAATTGCAAGGGTTGTATAAAATAAACCAGCAAATAATTCAATCTAAACATTTAGTTAATTGCAAGGGTTGTATATCACAAATCAGCAAATAATTAAATCTAAGCATTTAGTTAATTGCAAGGGTTGTATAAAATAAACCACTCAAGAATTCAGTCTAAACATTTAGTTAATTGCAAGGGTTGTATAAAATAAACCACTCAAGAATTCAGTCTAAACATTTAGTTAATTGCAAGGGTTGTATAAAATAAAACACTCAAGAATTCAGTCTAAGCCACTAGTTACTTAAGACATTAAGGATTACCTTCTAGATGCTAATTTTACCTTTTGCAGGTAACAGAGCATCGGCCATGCGGCGCAGAGTGGGAAGTATGGACACCAAGCGGCCATCACGTGACGTCGATTTCCTTTCAGGTGCGCCCTGTTTCAATTTGAACACACACACACACACACACACACACATACATATATATATATATATATATATATATATATATATATATATATATATATATATATATATATATATATATATATATATATATTTGATTCATGTTTACAAGCTTTTATTTAACATGCTTCCTCGTCATGTCTGTCATCATAGATCGAAAAGGGCGAGCGAAATTTCGAGCACTTCTAATCCACCGATTTCTCTGAAATGCAGCACGTGGGTCAAGCCCGATAACAATACAATCTTCAATTAAATTTGATTTAATTGGATGACTAATTAATTTTTTTAATTACAATTTTCTGAAACTAGTAGGGTGTCCCACTACTACTATTCCGCGTATTATCATCTTCATTTGGTGCGCAATTGTTTTTAATCATGAAAATCTATGGTATTAAATAATTTAAAGGACTGGAAAAAGAAAAAAAAGGGAAAAAAATCGTTTTAATAATAAGTATTTTGTGTAATAATGCATTAAAAAGGAGAGAATAAATGATTTTCGTTAAATATATAATAAGGAGACGACCCGCGACGTATCATACGCCGCTATTTAGTTGTTTTATTTTCTACTTTTCAGTAATTCATAATTTGTGAATTCGACAATATCAATGCTGCGACTGAAAATCTTTGCTTTAAAACACTATAATGTAGCTCGTGAAGGACGATTATCCCCCTCTCACACACCCCCACCCCGCGGAAAGCAGCCTCCCATTAGTTACGTCCCCTTAGTTTCAAATCGTTTAAAACTAAATTATCTGCCCTTAATAGCCGTCACTAATTCGACCCGGCTCTACGATTGTAAACAAAGGGCATGAATTACAGCTCACCAGACTGGAAAGCGAGGGAGGGGGCGGGAGGAGGGTTATCTGTGTCGTGGTATGCATGAAGAGAATTATATATAGGGAAGATACACTACTATTTAAATAACTGTACAGAAAATCATGGGTCTCTTCCTGATTTGTTACATAAAAGCTTGTTATTAAAACCTTTTTATACATATTTGTACCACAATCTGCATTATACCACTGAAAAAGTTTGTGCGTACTTTCTAACTAGTGAAAATTCAAATTGTATTCAATTTTCAAATACTTTGTATAGGTCATATAGGCGACAACATCTCCGCCACTTTAGTTCTTTTTAATTTAAATATGATACGCAGCACTCAGCACCGGCCCAATGGAGATTTTCGAAGGATGGTGTCTATATAATGAAGATAATCCAACCGCAGCTACAGTATTCATTTTACAAAACAACCATCGAGTTAAATATGCAAGAAAATTAATGTATCTATAAAAAATTGATTACGGTCGGCGTGACCCCCCCCCCCCACATTGCTGGATCTGGCGGCACTGTAGTTCCGCCCCTGGTCAAATAAAGTTATTCGCGTTGGTGAAAATGCGCCCCCAACATCCCTCACTAGGAAGTGTCGGGGCGCTTTTTACCAGCCATTTTGCCTTTTTATTTTGGTGTCAAGCAAATGATTTAGAAAACAATTTAATAATGCCAAGTAGCAGTCAACATTCTTTATTTCGACTGTATATAATGAGCTTTTTATATTATTATCTGCCGAGTTCGGCGCCCCCCCCCCCCCCCCCCCTTTGGATCAACGCTTGTGCAATTTTGATTTTTAAATAGGGCTAAGTCTTGTTTTCTCTCACTTAGGGCTAAGTCTTGTTTTCTCTCACTTAGGGCTAAGTCTTGTTTTCTCTCACTTAGGGCTAAGTCTTGTTTTCTCTCACTTAGGGCTAAGTCTTGTTTTCTCTCACTTAGGGCTAAGTCTTGTTTTCTCTCACTTAGGGCTAAGTCTTGTTTTCTCTCACTTAGGGCTAAGTCTTGTTTTCTCTCACTTAGGGCTAAGTCTTGTTTTCTCTCACTTAGGGCTAAGTCTTGTTTTCTCTCACTTAGGGCTAAGTCTTGTTTTCTCTCACTTTGATTTAGAAATCTCGTTAGCCAGGGAGAGATTTAGACTTTCAAACTAAATTAAATTGTTGGCACCACAAGATCCTAAACAGAATAAATATTCCAATACAAACACAGACACAAACACAATTATATATAAACTAGCATATATTCCAATACAAACACAGACACAAACACAATTATATATAAACTAGCGTATATTCCAATACAAACATAGACACAAACACAATTATATATAAACTAGCGTGCCCGTCTCGTCTCCACGCGTAGCCGCTGGGTTAAAAATAAAAGTCCCAGGATATCCCGGGGCAAATCGTATCCTGCTGGGGCGCGGTCAGACGCGACTGATTCTCTTTCGTAAACGACTATAATACTAATTCTTATCCATATTCTATCAAAATCTTTAAAGCGAACGTATGCGTCATAGCGCTACCGGAATAGCCCGGGGAGCCTCAGACTCAGATGCTTTATTATGGCGGATGTGGTGCTGCATGATGTTGGATGTGCTGCATGATGTTGGATGTGGTGTGGTATGGTAGTAGATTAGGTGCTGTATGATGGTAGATGTGCTGTATGATGGTAGATGTGCTGTATGATGGTAGATGTACTGTATGATGGTAGATGTACTGTATGATGGTAGATGTGCTGTATGATGGTAGATGTGCTGTATGATGGTAGATGTGCTGTATGATGGTAGATGTGCTGTATGATGGTAGATGTGCTGTATGATGGTAGATGTGCTGTATGATGGTGGATGTGGTGTTGTATGATGGTGGATGTGGTGCTGTATGATGGTGGATGTGGTGTTGTATGATGGTGAGTACTATTGATGTACTTTTAATATACCCCAGGAAGCGACGAGGAAGAGAGAGTGGGTATAGTGGAACTAAGCGTAGATCGACCTACAATGGAGGTGACAGATGTCGATATGAGTAGGCCGCTTGAGCCGAGTAGACCATTTAGTAAGTTGTCGATCCTATCATTATACGCCAGCTCATTAGATGTTTTACTGTTAGATCTTGGGTTAGGGTTAGTCTTACTCTTTGTATTGTTGCAATATATGTATATATATAAGAATATATATTTTTAGAACGTAGGATATATATATATATATATATATATATATATATATATATATATATATATATATATATATATATATATAATATGTATGTATGTATAAATGTATGTATATTTATATAAACATGATCATCATTACCCGTTATAACGCAAAAGATTTCACTAACAAAATATGGCAAATATCTCATGGTAAAATATCTCATGGCAAAATATCTCATGACAAAATGTTTCATGACAAATACCCTTAATATTCTGAAATATTTTTGTAATGAGAACACGTCATTATTTTGATTTAAATGTTTTGTACCGATTATCTGTCTAGTAGATGTCTTATGGGCCAACAATTGTTACTATGGGCACTTGCGTGTAATCGTGGATTTGCTGAACTGTTGTTACTCTGGGCACTTGCGTGTAATCGTGGATTTGCTGAACTGTTGTTACTCTGGGCACTTGCATGTAATCGTGGATTTGCTGACTGAATATCTCTATAAGTTGATCGCCATTTGCCGCCTGGATAACCAGGAAAACCTTGTAACAATCTTTAGTCTCAATTTTTTTTTTTAAATTCGCATTTTTCTGAGTGCAAATTTCAATTTTTTATTATTACACATTTTTCCATTGCGCATCTTTCTGGTTAGCCTCCAGTGAACCACTGGGTTAACCCTAACCCTAACCCTAACCCTAACCACTAAAACCACGCCATAAATAAACTGCGGAGAAAGCAATCATACTGTGAAATGTTGGCACAATGCTTTGAATAGAATGGTCAGTATCAACCAACCCCACTAGGGTTAGATGTTGGCTCACAATGAAATTGGCTATCTAGTTCTATTTGATGATATAAAATTGTAACAAAATTCTTTCACGATCCGATGCAAATTTTTGAAAATGAATGTAATGTAATTCAACATTCATTCAATTAGTATTGTATTTTAAGCGTTCAGTGTAAAGTTCAAATGTCATTAAAAAATAAATGTTCTCTACTTTTATTGGTCTATGTGCATACTTTCAATTAAGTTCAAATAATGGACACCAGCTAGTTTACGAGAATCCATTAATCATATTTTTGACATGGATAAAAATATTTTTTTTATTTTGACTTCATAGCGGCAGTAAAAAAAAAATAATGTTTTTTCCTACTAGACTACCCGCTGTCTAGTTAGATAACTGTGGGTTTCGGGGGTCATCCAGAAATGACATCACGTCTGTCACTTATCACAAAATAACCAGACCCCACATTCAAAAAGACGTTTTGTATCTTTTAAAAACACCGCATGGGTTTGACTCCACTATCCCTTCATATACTGACTTCACAGGTGAACTACTCAACTCTACTTCACCTGCCCAATATCCCGCCAAGTCTCAGACAACGTGCTTTTATCGTTTAAAAAGACGATTCCGGCCGAGCATGTCTCTGACCACACTATCCCTTCATATGCTGAGCACAAAGAAACAGGTGAAATCTACTTCACCTGCCCTGTATCCCGCCAAGTCCCAATAGGCAACTTTATCATTCACATCTAAAAAAGAAATTTAAAAAATGTAAACATTGACATGATGTGTCTAGAACCCGTGCCTCTCGCATGGAAGCCTATTACACTAACAACTTAGCTATCTAGACTCGTGACGTCATTGACGTTTTTTGTGCTATATATAAACTTGATTTACGCGAATAGGCTCTAGATCATTCAAATTAAATTTTATCTTAAATTAGCCAATCCCATAGCTAAACAAACAAAGATTTATATAAAATAATGAAGGTCTGAAATAGTTTAGTATAGAAACTTTATTATCTAGATCTAGATAGAGTTATCTAGATTCTACGACTGGTTTGGTTAAGTCGAGATTTTGCCGTAACTCTAGATGGAAGCCGCCATTATTGTAGTAAAAAGTAAACAAATCATGTGACTTCACTATTCACACTAAGTAAAATCATTTTTCTGAACTTTGTAATTAATGTGGTTAATCTACCAATGAATAAATCAATAAATTAATTAACATATTTAAATTAATTTGTGGTTAGCTGTCTGTCTAAAAAAATTGTTATCTACCTACATACTATTTTACAGCTCTACACATAGTCTGTCATAGTGCAGATTCTCTCCTGTAACCAAACGGACAAACAAACAAACAAATTTCCAAACATGTAAACAAATTTGAGTTTTAGTAGTATATAGATGTTATAAAGGCTGCAAATTCAGAGAACTTGAACATATTTTTATGAGTTTAAGGCTACATCTATAATATAACGCTGGTGGTAGTGTGTCAGTCATTCCGTCATACTGTCAATCCTATAGATTTTGGAACCATAAAAGTAAACACATCACATGTGGTGCTCTGTACGTGCATCGCATGGTCTTATTATAAGTAACGAGCTGACCCGCGACGTAGTATACGCCGCCATCTAGTTGTGTATTTTCTGCTTATCAGAAATTCATAATTTGTGAATTCAACACTACCCCCTCCCGCCCTCCATTCCCCCCCCCCCCTCCCGCCCAGTGAAATCAGCCGTTTACAGACAAAGAAAATATCAATCAGAAATTGTTACCTCCCCTTCGTTTGAAATCGTTTAATTCTAAATTATCTGCCCCTTATAGCCGTCACTAACCGGGCTCTACGATTGTAAACATTTGGGGTGGTGGCTAAGCTGCGTGGTGTTTTCTATGGTCCCAATGAAGAGACTTATATATATATATATATATATATATATATATATATATATATGTATATATATATATATATATATATATATATATATATATATATATATATATATATATAGTAGGGTTTGTTTATTTAGTGATTTAATTTTTTTTAATAGTTGCCACTGTTTTTACTTTTTCACATAACGTAAAGAAAATATTAAATACACGCACATTGCTAAGACATATTAAACGGATCAATGTCAAATAGCATTTTCGTTTAGATTTCTAGAAAAGTGGATACATGTTAATAAAAATAGGGTCTAAAAAAACTAAATAATTAAACTGTTTTGTACCTTTCCAAGGGAGGTAATTTAAAAATAAATTCAACTCATGCTAATAAAAAAAATGTGAATGCAAATTCTCCAAGCGGGAATTGTTGTTGGAATATTATAATTAGCTTGGATTGATAAAAGGTAATCTTTTATTTAATTTACTAAATGAAGGTACTGTTTACTAATTAGGTGCGCAATGGTTTTATTCATGAAACTCTGTTTTAATTTTTTTAAATTTAAAGTACTGAAAATAAAATGCATGAATTGATAAATTGCAATATGGTAGGCAAAACACGGATATTTTAAATACTCCCTTTTATTTATTTTATACACTGAACGTACTGTTTACTAATTATTATTCCATCTTTTGGTTTGCGGACAAGCTGGGGGTTTTATAGTCGTTCACTTAATCAGGCGCTTCAGCCGGTGCTCGGACAGGGTGCGATTTGGCTAGACTGTGAGCGCTATGCGTTTATTTTTGCATTTAAGTCGTGTTTATGTTATGAATGTTGTCTTTTGTGATTGTGTGTTGCTTTTGTGTTTTCGTTTGTGTTTGCGTTGTGTTTGTTTGCATTGCGTTTGTGTTTTCTTTTGTGTTTGTGTTTCTATTTGTGTTTGTGTTGTGTTTGTGTTTTATTTTGTGTTTGTGTTTTTTTGTGTTTGTGATTTCCTCGTGTTTGTGTTTACTTTTGTGTTTGTGTTTTCTTTTGTGTTTGTGTTGTGTTTGTGTTGTGTTTGTGTTGTGTTCTTTTTGTGTTGAGTTTGTATTGTGTTTGTGTTGTGTTGTGTTTGTGTTATGTTTGTGTTGTGTTTGTGTTGTGTTTGTGTTGTGTTTGTGTTGTGTTTAGTTTTGTTCTGTTCCCAAGCTGGTACATTTAAAAAAGATTTACTGTTGCGGAGCACGGGTACGTAGCTAGTTTCTATTTAATTTAATCAAGCTTAAGTTATAACCGGATGTTTCACTTTCGTAAGACAAACATTGATTGGCTATTCAAGAACTCCGTAATCAATAGTTATTTGTTTACAAAACTTTGCAGATAAAGTTTTTAAGTAACAAAATGCTATTTAATACCACATGACCTAGTACTGTCATTTTTGTTTACATTCTGTATGATAAAATGTATGCTGGCCTATCGATGTCATCGCTTATGTCGCCAATACCACGTGAAAACCAATTGCTGTTGCCTTAAATTAAATTGTGTTTAATTTCTGAAAATACTAAAACGTCAAAAACATCAACTCTCTTTTTATGCCCGAAAAAAAAACAGTCAGAATTTATAACCATATTAATTTTAATTACACCGCGCATGATGTTTGAAAACTTTTAATGGGCCTCACGAATAACTTCCAGGCTATTATCGGTTGGGTCTGTTCAGTTGAAAATGTCTATTCTTTTATATCAGGGGTCTCCAAACTACGGCCCGCGGGCCGGATGCGGCCCGGGAGGTCTTCTCATCCGGCCCGATGAGATTTTTATGTCCATGGAAAAAAAAATGTTTCTTTGGGGTGGCTGAGGAACTTTTACCAGAAAATTAAAAACAATTTGAAAATGTAGCTTTGTTTGCAAGTACATTTGCCCGCGGTGTTGCAGACACTGGTGAAGATGGTGAATTTAATAAGGTCACAATGGCTCAGATAATATTACATAAATATTAATTAACCACATAAATATTAATTTAAATTTTCTGAACGTAAAACTACAAGAGAGGGAAATCTATTTTCTTATTTATAGGCCCACCTGAAGGCCTTCAGATTTAAACTTGTCTTGTTTTTCGAACATGTACATGCCAACAATTTGACGCACTTTCAGCAGTCAAGGTCTTCATGGCTGAAACAACAGCTGAGTTCCGCAAGTCAATTCTATGCAAGAACATCTAAGACCCCCAGCTGCAGTTTCAGCAGCGGTTTTCTGACTTGGATCAAAGGCAGAAGAAGTGAAACTGTTTTAAAATCCATTTCCTCGAGTGTGTTGTTAGCCCCTGACAGCGTTTCTTTCAGACTTATTTCTCCAGGGGTGGGAGGATTTGAAATTTGTATATATTCCTATATAAATTATATTTCGTCGGGGGGGGGGGGGGCGAGGGGCCGGCAGACGTTCTTCAGGGAGGGGGAAAGAGGGGCTCTGCCACCCCAAACAGACGCATGGAAGAAACTATGGCCCCCGAACTGATATTTGATGGTTAATGCGGCCCTCGGGCTGAAAAGTTTGGAGACTCCTCTTCTATATCTACCCAGTATATAAATAAATAAGCCTCATTTGAGAAAAAAAAATCTTCCAAACTTCTTATGGCATTTATGTGTTAGTTATTCTGTAAATGAGATATTTTGTCAAGTATCCATCTATCTATCCATCCATCCATCCATCTATCCCTCCATCCATCCACCCACCCACCTCACTCACTAACCCACCTACCCATCCACCCACCTACCCATCCACCCACCTACCCATCCACCCACCTACCCATCCACCCACCTACCCATCCACCCACCTACCCATCCACCCACCTACCCATCCACCCACCTACCCATCCACCCACCTACCCATCTATGTCTTTGCCTCTGTATCTATCTATTGATATATATCCCACAGCTCGTGACACGGATGCCACAGGCGGGGATACTAAAACAGTGAGAGGCAGACCGCAAAATGAAGGGCCCGCACTGCTCGATGATCGGCCCACAGGCCCACCGTACCAAGACATTGACAACAGGCTGGTCACCTTACATGAGTTAGTCCCGTCAACATTTCTCATCAATATAACTCATCCATGTATAAATAGTTTTGAATGAATGAAAACTTTACCCTAACCCTAACTCTTATCATCCATGTATAAATAGTTTTGAATGAATGAAAACTTTACCCTAACCCTAACTCTTATCATCCATGTATAAATAGTTTTGAATGAATGAAAACTTTACCCTAACCCTAACTCTTATCATCCATGTATAAATAGTTTTGAATGAATGAAAACTTTACCCTAACCCTAACTCTTATCATCCATGTATAAATAGTTTTGAATGAATGAAAACTTTACCCTAACCCGACAGGTTTATTTCACGTGAGTGTCTCTGCTGGGCTTGGGTTGGGTGCTTTTTAACTTTCTCGTATACGAAGTACAGAGGAAGTATTGTAATCCTGCAAAAAAAAATTCCAAATCAACGTACCACTCGACGTTTTACATCTCCCTGACTCTGAAAAACAGTTATGCAATTTTATCCGTATGTCTGTGTGTGTATCTGTGAACACGATAACTTGAGTACCGTTACAGCTAGGTTGATGAAATTTCATATATAAGAATTATATCAAAATTTGTAGTTCTATATCAACTTTCCAGCGACTTCTCGTAACCGGAAGTGGAACTTATTCAACTTTTGGTTTTTCAAAAGCCTATAATTTGAGTATTGTTTCAGATAGATAACGAAATTTCATTTATAAGTAAAAGATTTAATTCTCTGCCTTCTATCTGAGAAATAACTGTGCAACGGAAGTATTGCTTTACGCTATTTTCGATTTATCTAAAAACGCATATCTATTATATAGATCTAAGGTTGGTAGTAGTTTGTCAGTCATTCCGTCCTTCCGTCATCGCTTTGGATTTTGGAACCACAAAAGCGAACAACAAACCATGCAGTGTTTTTAAAATGCATGACATTGTCTTATTATAAGTACTATAGTAGTGTTTGTTTATATAACGACTTAAATTTATTTTATAGTTGCCACAGCTTTTGCTCTTTTGCATAAAGAGAAGCAAATATTAAATACACGCACATTTTAAAACATATTAAAAGGATCAATGTCAAATAATGTTATCGCTTAGATTCCTAAAAAAAAATAAACCGGGAGTGATCTCCCCTAAACGTTCTCGAATATTCTTATATAAAATAACAGGGGATGGGAACTCGGGCTATAGACATGATTTTTAATCCATTTTAAATACTTAAAGTTTTAAAAATAGAATAAAATCTCGTAGACAAATTAATTGCACACCAAGTGAACGCCAAATAAAAAAGCGCATAATAGTGCGCAATATTATTAGTACTTTTAAAATTTACATTAGTTTTTTTGAGAAATCGGAAGTAGCGTAAATTACTACTTCCGGTCAACGGAAATGACTCAAAATTTAACAGAAGGTAGAAAATTAGATCTTTTACTTACATGTGAAATTTCATTTATCTATCTGAAATAGTACTCAAGTTATAGGCTTTTGAAAATTTCAAAGTAGAAAAAGTACCACTTCCGGTTATCGGAAATCGCTCAAAAGTTGATACGGATCTACGATTTTGATAAAATACTTATATATGAAATTTCATCAACCTAGCAGTAACGGTACTCAAGTTATCGTGTTTACACACGGACAGACAGACACACAGACACACAGACAGACACACAGACATACGGACAAGATTGCAAAATTATGTTTTTCCGTATCAGTGCGGTGTAAAACGTCGAGATTTGTAAAAATCTCGATTTTTTTTTTTTGCACGATTACAAGACTTTCTCTATACTTCGTATATACGAGAAAGTAAAAATGTAATTACTTAAAAAGATAAATAATTATGCCAGGGGAGGTAAATTTTTAAAAATTCAAATCACGCTAATAAAAAAAAAATATGTAGGCGAATTCCGCGGACGTCCATGTAGGCATTAGTTTTGGAGGAATAATATGATTAGCATGGATAGATAAACTGCAATATGGTAGGTAAAACACCGGCTTTTATTTATTTTATAAAATGAACGAACTGTTTACTAATTATTATTTGTAATCAATAACAGTTTAGAAGCCGCTCCTAAATGCCCTCTATATTTACTTCTATCTTTAGATTTGCGGATAAGAGGGGGGGGGGTATTATAGCTGTTTACTAAATTGAATCAGGCGCGTCCGCCGGCGCCCCCGGCTGTGGTTAAAAAGGGTTACTAAAGAAGTTCACTAAATCGAAACAAGGGCGTCCTCCGGCGCCCCGACAGGGTGCTATTTTGGCGCTCCGGGCCTTCCCGTGAGCGCTATGGCGCCTACGTTCGTTTTAATGAGTGCAATAGAGTATGGATAAGTTGGGGTAATATAGTCGTTTCCTAAATTGAATCAGATGGTTCCCCTGCGCTCCGGCAGGGTGCGATTTGGCGCCCCGGGCTAGACTGTGAGTACAATGCGTTTATTATTTTTCCATTTACGTTTATGTTATGCGTTATTGTTTGCTTTTAGTTTTGTGTTTGTGTGTTGCGTTAGCGTTTGTGTTTTCGTTTGTTTGTTTTTCCGTTTGCGTTTGAATTAGTGTTTAAATTGTGTTTGTGAGTGCGTTTGCATTTTCTTTTGTGTTTCTGTTTTCCTTCACAGTGCGTTTGTGTTTACGTTTGTGTTTTCTTTTGTATGTGTGTTTGTGTTCCGTTAGCGCGTTTGTTTGTTTGTTCGTTTGTGTTTTTTTGTGTTTGTGTTTGCATTTGCTTTTGTGTGGTCATTGTCTTTGTGTTTGCGCTGTGTTTACGTTTGCGTTTTCTTTTGTGTTTTTTTTCCTTGTGTTTAGTTTTGTTCTGCTTGCTACATTTAAAAAAGATTCAGCGTTGCGGAGTAAGGGTATGCAGCTAGTTAATATATAAAGTACTAAAATTCCGCACTATCATACACAGATTGTTTGCTGTTCACTTGATGAGCAATTATTTTTTCTACCATAGTCTATTCTATTTTTTAAAGTTTAAGTGATTAAAAATTAAATCGTGTTACCATCCTCTGTAGTGTTATAAGTTTATTCGAGAAACTTTAGGGGAGATAACTCCCGCATTATTTTTATCATACGTAAACAATAAAACAAATTTAAAAAAAAAAACAACTTTCTAGTAATAAGCTTTTAAATGCACTAAAATTAGTTAATAAAAAAAGTTTTGAAGGTTTGAACGAAAACGCTGCACTAGAAGTGGATCATAATTACAAGATGTGCCACATACAGCACAACAAACAAACAAATAAAGTAACCAGACATAGTGAACTAAATAAAAGTTTCTATAAAAAAGAAATATAGAAACGTTTCTAGTAGCAAGCTTTTAAATGCACTGAATATAATAAAATAAAAATAATTTGCTTTCTTAAATAAAAGCACTGGTCGCTAAAATATGCAAGACATCTCAATAGCGACGAAAGCTTTTTTTTTTTAAATAGAAAGCAAGTTCGTTTCCTTCTTTTCAGCGCATATAACACAAACTAGCTATTACTACTAGAAATGTTTGTTGAATGTATCAAATGTAACGAAATTGTTGTATTAAAAACGAGTCTGAATTCTATTACAAGATTTTCTACAACCCACAAGCAAGAATTGCGAACTAAAAAATAAGCTAGTAAGAAGTGAACTTAAAAATACGTTTTTAATTTTGAAGCTGTATTTTCCTAAAGAGAAAGAGCTTCAAACGTGCACAAAAATAAATGAAATTCTGACCGTTTACGTAGTTTTACAATTCCCCATTTTATAATATGCGTAATATAAATTATTCTTCTTTTTTTCCCACGTTTTCTTTAACTTGCTTTCTCTGTGTGTTTGTCTTTCCAATCCAATCTTGCGATCGAAATTTCTGGCACTTCCCAGTTAGCTAGCGCGCTGAAATTTTCAGGGAAGCTTTGTTTTGGATGACAATTGAATATTCTATTGTTTTTATTACTAAATTCTTTCCAATCCAATCTTGCTATCGAAATTTCTGGCACTTCCCAGTTAGCTAGCGCGCTGAAATTTTCAGGGAAGCTTTGTTTTGGATGACAATTGAATATTCTATTGTTTTTATTACTAAATTAATCCATGGAAACATTTTATTGATCATTTTAGACCCCTATATAATTGTACCAAAAAACGTGGGGGAAAAGGGACATTACCCAGTAACTGTAATTTGATGAAAACAAGGTTCGGCACTCCCCCTCTTTTTGCTTACTGAGTAGTTGTCACGCTGTGTTTGTGTACAAACAACCATAACGTAACAACTGGTGGCCAGTATGGGGGAGACGATATGGTCGAGTGGTTGGGCACACGATTGCTATCCCACTCGACACGGGTTCAAATCTATGTGTTCTAGTCAGTAACGTATTCACACAACGTGTTTTTTACGAGTTGTCTTTTTACGAGTTGTCTTCGTTTACCCAAAAAAAGTGAAAAGATAAAATCGATAGCAAGATTTACATGCAAACAAACAGACAAACACTAAAAAAACACGTTTTTGATAGCTTATAGTAGAGTGATCGCTTGCATTATTGTGATGTATAGTATTTTTTTTCTACTTTTTAGTTCAATCAGAAAACGTGGGTTTTTTAAAACTTTTTTAATGATTATTATTTTCAAAAAATTATTTATACTGACTTTCGGTGCCATCCACTTCATTGTTATTTGAGAAGCAGCTGCATACCAGTGCTTCGCCATGGTGAATCTTTTTTAAATTACCAACTTGGGAACAGAACAAACGCAACACAACCACAACACAACCACAACCTAACCCTAACCCATACCAGTGCTTCGCCATGGTGAATCTTTTTTAAAGTACCAACTTGGGAACAGAACAAATACAAACATAAAGAATTTTTAAGTTCATTAATTTTATTTATACACTTATTAAATCTAACTAAATCATTCCTTTAAATAACAAAGAAAAACAAAAGAAATAGTGATTTTTGAGAGATCATATCAATAAAATTTAAAAAAAACCTATAAAATTCTGTGCCGACTAAACAGGAAATAATATAAATAATCTTCACCTTAATCT